AAGTGCGTTAATGGGCCTGAGATTTATGATCACGTGTTCAAAGTTGCTAAGGTGCAAATCCAAGGATTCTTCTCCATCCTCTCTATTCCACTTGACTTTCAAACATATTACACAGTAAACACTGCAATTTTCATTGAATTCTCATCGCACTTAGAAGGGTAATGCTTGCGGTTAGAAGAACAGCTTCTAAGCGTAAAATGACGCGTTCATAGATTCTGGTCTCCACATTTGCAACGCATTTTGTAATCAAACAATATTTACATGAAATTCATGCATCCAATATGTCACAACATTACCCGTTTGCTTGATGAGAAACAAAGCGTCAAATCCTCGTTCTCGCTAATCGGGTCTCCTTTGTCTTCATTCCAACTCACAGGGCATTGTGTCGTTTGTACTGGTATCCTGTGAAAGTGTTGTACGCATGTGGTTGGTGTGCTGTTTTTCACCACGGTTGTGTGGATCCCAATATTTTCTGGCCATTTAATGGACTATTGTGGATCCTTCTAGTACTCCACATCTACTGGTTCGGGGTAAGTGAATGTGTGGCCATGTAACTGTTCACCGTGTTGCTGTTGCACAGTGCCACACCATCACGCGCATTAAAACCTGACAGTGATGTCGTTTTCCGGCTGTTTTACCTTCCTTGGTTTGGAAGGGCAATAGATTCTGTTGACGGCGTAGTCCTTCTACATTGTACCTCATTGAGGTGTATGATTAGTTTGTTCTATGCTAATAACGTTTATAGTGTTATAGTTCCAGAAGGCGGTGCTGGTCGAGGATAGCTGTGTATTGCCAATAACGGTAAGGATACTACTCACAAGTGATTAGTATCTCACAACAATAGTACAAGAATTGTCAGTCCACTTAGTCCCTTTAACTCGTTCATTCTCTAGAGCTTTGGTTCTTAAGGCTCAACTTTTGAAGCTGTTCAGTCACCCAATGTTCGTGGTAGGCAGCATCGCTATTACTGGCCTTACTACTACTACGGCCGTACCAGGGGGTCATATGTGGTTCCCCCCTCCCAATCTTCGGGCTTAGCTTGCCTGTTTCCATGAGTGAAAAATAGATTATGTTGATTGTAGTGATTACTTTGTCTGTTGTTCATCACACCATGGTATGTCATAAAACGCATATTATCATTATACTAGAAATAACTAAGCTTAAGCTGGTTCAGTTGAGATTTCCGAACAAAACCATGGAGCCGGTTTTGGTTTCTGTCTTTTGGCTACCCACTTGGCTGACCGTCGATTAGGCGAACGGGTAAAAAGTGTACGAATTCACTGTTCTGAGAAGCACTCCTTCACATCAGATCATGCTCTCGGTTTGCCTCTAACCCCATCCCGCCCCAAAAACCATTATTAATAGGTCCATCTGGCGACATGCATAACGCCTTGCTCAGTGTGTTTATGAAGGACTGACAATTCTAAACACCGCTCACCTAATCTCGGTTTTGCTTGTTTATTTAACAATTAGAGATTGGTGTTATTCCGCACAGACAGCAGTGTTCTGTCATCGATGGTTTCTGTTTATTCTCTTCTCTTAGGGGCCATTTCACCATACTACATACCAGCGTCGATCAGATTTCAGTACTCTACAGCTGACTACTCACGGATCGTGAAATATTCTGCATGGATGCTGGTGTTTCAGTTATTAACACCTATATCGTTTGATTATGTAAAACGCTCGTCGAACATAACCACATTATTACCAGAACTATAAAAATACCTTAATTCTAGAAGTCAGACCTCTTACTCTCGCCCGAAAATATAGCAATATCTGAACTCACATTCAACAAAACATTGAAAAATAAAAGAAGCGAACCTTGACGTACACGGTTCTTCGTTGTGAAATCGGACGAGGAAGAGCCGTGAACTCGAATGCGGTTCCGCCGATTCATATGTAATGAAATACGTTTAACCTGGGCACACTCATCAACAAGGAGTACTGCTCGTGTACGGCTATTCAATTAAGGGAATGACCACCTGCATTTTAACGAAGA